CCCTGCCTCCCAGCCGCTCCCCCTGCCAGGCTTCCGTCCGGCGCCCAGCTGGAAAAACAGAAAATACCGGACATTGCACATGTCTGGTATTTTCTGAATTTTTACCACCAGACAGAGGGCGCAAAAAAATCAGACTGTCCGGTAAAATACCGGACACCTGGCAATCCTATCAACCAGGGTCATCCTTGGGATTTATGGGACCCTATACAGTACTATTTCATTGGTGCCTCTTGTAAAATACCGGACACCTGGCAATCCTACCAACCAGGGTCATCCTTAGGATTTATGGGACCCTATGCAGTACTATTTCATTGGTGCCCTACAGCAGCCTAGGCAGGGGAGGAGGGGAAATGTGATTTTTTTTTTTTTTAAGAGATTTTTTTTAAAGCAAATGTTAAACTCTGGTAAATTCAGAAGCTGACAGTACATACTTTGGGCTGGCAAATGCCTGTTAAATGGCTTCATTACCACTTCAATGGCTCTTCCGCAGGTTCAGTGTTCTGCTAATAGGTCTGGCAGGCTTTCACTTTAAGTTAACTAGATTCTCTCCAGAGAAGCAGAGCCGTAGAACAGAGATAGGAAGAGGTGGATGGTGGGCATTAAAACCCAGTAGTGCCCCAAATTTGCTGATGTCCTACACAGCTGTGTATCCAGTGTATGGCAAGGAAGACCCTGTCCCCAACTCACTGACTTGATTGTATGTGCCAGCTACTGCCACCTGTGCAAACTCAGATAATTGCCCTGAATTGCAGATTGACCGTATGTCTGGCTACCCAATCACAAATCCACCATTTACTATAAGCTCTGGACTGCCATCTTACCTGCCTCAGCTACTGGGCATTACAGTTGGGAAGAAACATACAGAGCCTAGACTCGGTATGGCACATAAGCCAAGCCCACTATGCTTAGACACACAACACATCACCAGAAACTGGTGTTGATGTCACACAAGATTCTCATGAACAAAATCTTCGGGGGATCATTATAAATCCACCCTAGTTCAAAAAAAAAAAACAAAACATTATTCCACTCCACACAACAAAGCTCTCTTGTATTTCTGCACATCTCCTTGGACAATTAAATTTCATTCAAAGAAATATGAGGAACTGGTAGCTCTGAGGGAAAAAAACCAACCATGTGGATGTTGCATTAGTTACCTACCATTTTTGCAGATGGGGCAGCACTGATCTGGCTCATACACAGGATCCACACATTCAGTCTGAGGACAAGCTGATACTGTGCAGAGCACTTCACCATTAGCTTCACAATGGCATTTCTCACAGGGGGAAACCTGCAACACAAATCCATTCATCTTTTAATCTTTAATTTTCATCCTTTTAATTCTTCCTTTCCTCCTGTATTGTCTTTTCCTCTGTCTTTTACATGCATCTTGTCTTCTACAGTTTCAACAAAAGTAGGCGTCTCAGTTTAGGGCACTAACCAGGCTAGCCCCTAGCACTGTTCTGAATCTAAGCTCCAAACTGAGCAAAGCAAAAAAGTTCTGAAGAAGAGAATCACATGAGACCATTAAGCAATAGTTGGAAGATGTTCCCCTGGCTCCAAAGGACTGATGTGGCATTAACTTAGAACTAGTCTTTTATTAAACTAAAATTCCGATTTAAAAACAGATTTATGATTACGTTTTTCCTGACATAGTGGTCATGTTTTCCTGATAAAAACCAAATCCCCAACATTTTCCACAGGAAATTCAGACAAAAAAAAAGTTCTCTCCCCTCAAATTATATTGGTAGCTATGGAAAATACCAGATGAAGTGTACACATAGAAACGTTTTGAGAGGAATAAAAGTAAGGTCATGTTTTGAAGATGTTAAAAAGCATAAGTGGTTTAAAGAAGCTTTGTGGGACAGTGGAAAAAATGATACTTACTTAAAAGTACCATTTAAACTCAGGCTTGACCCTACTCCTAATGAAGTCAATGGGGGGGAAAAACACATTGATTTAAATAGAACAAGAGCAAGCTGGACATGCAAGTAATTGCAGGATATGTAACCCCTTACCACGCTCTCAATTTAATACAATACTCCCTTATCCTCTTCTGCATACACCTGTCTCGAGTCTCAAGTGCACATATACCCTTCAGAAGAGGTAGGGATATTAGGCACATAAGGGCCATTTCATAGGGCTGGTCTCGCCCTCATTTGAGAGTGTGACTACTACTACAGTATCCCAATGACATTGGTACAACTCCACAGAGTTAAAGGAAAGACATTGTTAGAACGCAATTTCCAGTGACATCTCCCCATCTTCAAGATCTAAATATCTTCAACACCCAACATTTTCCTGTTTCTTTAAATAAACTTGAGGTTCTGAAGTGCTCAGATAAGGTTCTGCCTCCTCCTTTCATGCCATTTGTAATTCCAAAACACAAAGAGTTGCAAGATTGTGTGGGAGGCGATATTGTTATCCTCACTTCTGTGCTGCTGCTGCTGGCAGAGGCACTGCCTTCAGAGTTGGTCAGATGGCCAGGAGCCCAGCTGTGAAGGCAACACCTGGAGCAACACAGAAGTAAGGATGACATGGTATGGTACTGCCAACCTTAATTCTGCACCAATGCCAACAGTGGTGCACCCTCCATCAGCAACCACCCCTTTGCTGTCATCCAGCTCTGAAGGCAGTGCTGAAGTTAAGGTAGCAATATCTTTCCCCAAAAATCATCAAGTGACTCCCCCACTCGCTGCAATTCCCTTTTGGTCACAACCCTCTATTTGAGAAATGCTGGTCTACGCCAACAACACTTGTCTAGTACAGCATAAAAGCACACAAAAGAGCAGAATTCACAGGAGGAATTTTTGGGAGGAGGGCTGTGAATTTGATTGGGGCCCTAGCTATAGAAGAAAAGGAGGACATTTCCAAACCAATTTGTAAAAGTCAAGAGATTCAGATATTTGACAAACTCTGGTTGAGCATCTGGTTACAGGTGCTTACCCAGGTACAAAATAGATCGTTTCCTTTTAAGATCTTCTTCAGCAGATCAACCTCAATCAAGTAATCAAATCTTGGGGTTAAGTTCATCAAGAGTCTAAATTGGCACATTTCCATAGACTTCACAGAACTTAGGCACATTTAAGTAAGTGATGAATCTAGCTCTGTTCAGTGACAGCTTGTGAACAAAAATGGGTATTCCCTCTTCAATTATCTCATATAATACAGTACAACCAACTTTTATATCCTTGTATTTGAAACAGCAATCAACACTGAAAAAATTAGGATAAAATTTTATAAGATTAAATAAAGCTTCTTTTAATTCAGCAGCTTGTTTACTGAAATTTCAACTTTTGACAAAACTGTTTGCCTCAACAAAGCATAAGTTACCCAGAACAAGAAGCCATATAATAAAGTATTAATGACACTGTGGAGGAGAGACAATCCTGATTTCAAAAGTCTACTTCTGACCAGATAAATTTTCATAGAGATGCATTTGCCTCTTAAATATCACGTGCTTTTGAATATCACACTCTTCAGAAGCTGAACTCTTTATGATAAACAGATGCTATGATGATATGGGTCATGAACACTTTTGCATATAATATATGGCAGGTTATTTCAAAGAAATATTTACCATGATTATGTAATGAGAACTGTGATCTCTAACATGAAGTTTTGCTCTACAGTTCTTAAGGTGAGATATTCTTCCTTGGATGCTCCACCAGTTCCCTGAATCTGCCATGTGATCTATGGTACATACTTCACTGCAACTTGCTAATTAGAAGCACCTTGCACTTTCATGATAAGGAAGAGATTTAGGGAGCCGGTACATTCAGGGAGCTGGCTTAAGAGCTGGCTCCCCACAAGCACTGGCTCTTGCCAGCCATAACAGTTCCTTCACTTTGGATTACATTGTGCAAATATTCAGTAAGTCTATGAGACAGAGCAGTCCCATACAAGCTCTTCAACATGAATAGGAGCTGTACAATGTAATAATCCGTTATGTGCTCATTTTTCTACTCTATTTTGTAAATCCATTTGAGAGTTAGGAATGAAGAATACCATGTAAGTGCTAAGTAATATTAATCACCAAAACAGCAACTCTTCCTATGCTAATATATAAAAGAACCAATAAGAAGCAGATACATCTGACTTAGTTAGCTAGGCACCCATAAAACCTATAGGAAATTGCAGAGGTTGACTTGTTGAAGGTTAACAGAAAGATTACGAACACTTGTACTAGAAAAGTATTTATACACCTCAGAAAAGCAAATACAATAATCTTTCCCCAGGGTACTTAGGACCCATTTCAGGGGGAGTGGTGAGGAATGGGAGCCTTGCTACAGACTTAGGGTATGTCTACACTACCCTCCTAGTTCGAACTAAGAGGGTAATGTAGGCATACCGCACTTGCAAATGAAGCCCGGGATTTAAGTAATGGGAGACCACCAGGGCTACAGTCTCAGATGGATTTCTTAAGTGTTTTTTAATTTTGTAATATTACATTGTTCTCTCCTATTGGAAGATGCAAGTCAGGACTGAAAGTAAATCTTGTTGCTGGTCTCAAAATGCACACCAATTGTGGTTTTCACCTTGAGAATGAAGAGAGGCATCATCTGCTGGTTTCTGGTAATGGAGAAGTACATTTCACCATTTCCTCTGTAAATTCAAGTCAGCAGCACTGTTTCATGTACTGGGCAGCCAGATGTAGTCTAGACACAGCCCAGGAGACTAACCAAAGAGTACAGACTCTGAGAAGATGTGAAGGCACCTGAGTCAGGTTCATTGTGGAACAATTAAGGATAAAGCACTGAAATTTGAATTTGATAGATACCTGGTCTGCTCTTCCTTTGTGGGAATTCCTAAGTGCTGGAAAGAGCATATGCAAGGATCAGAATTACCCTGCCTATAAAAATTTTGGCTATGGGAGCAAACTACACCTTGAAGTACAGATCAGCATGTATCATGAGCAGAGGGAAAGGTATCTAGTTGCGATCAGATTTTTCTTTAATTTTGGTTTAAACTTCTGTGTGAATTAATGCTTTCCCTCCCCCATTCACTAACAAAGAGTTGCTCCCAGAGATTCTCTGTGTTTTAATTGGTTTTACTTAGTTGTTCTGTACACCTAGCAGCCAAGTATGCTTTATCATCAAGTATATCTGTTTGTTTGTTAATTTTAAAAAAATCACTTTAAGGTGATGATTTGATTCTTGAGTCCGGGAAAGTAACGGGGGGAGGAGGGGGAAGGGGTGTCTGTGTGTATTTACCTGCCTAAGACTGGGTGGTCAGCTACCAGAGACTGCAGCTTGTTTCTCTTTTTTCAAGCTCTTTTGGGGCAACAGAGATTGGGTATACCCCTGAAGAAGGCATTCATGTGTTTCCTCCTGTTTTTTTAGGGTGAAATCACTTGATGGTGGCAGCTTTGGTTCCCGCCCCCC